AATATATCATCCTTTTTTTTAATTCTAGGCCACCAGCTTTAGCTCTGAGGCTCGGCTCCAGCTATGAGACCTCCGCTGCTGAAAGCAGATTTCTTGCCTTTTTTTACCCTTCTCTATTTTAAACAATGTTGCAGTTCTGTTGGCTGAAGCCCCCGGTTTTGTTTAGCTTCTGTATGTGTTACAATGTTGCTTAGAGTGCAGCTGAGAGGCCGGCAAGGCAGGCGGGGAACGCTGGAGCTCTCCGTCACTGAAGCAAGCAAGGCTCCCTGTTCGCATCAGCTGCCTGGCTGCCGGCCGCCATCTTGGCTGCCAGTTAATTTGCATATCTCGGCCCTACTCTGTGAGTGACAGGGGGATTAGCCAATGGGAAGGGTAGCGGTCGTACACCAATTACCATGTTTCTCTTTTATTAGTGTAGATATTGTATTAATTGTTCTATTTTACTATTACTGTTTTAATCTCTTACTGTAACTAATTTATAAATTGAATTTTATTATAGGTCAATATGTCAGTCTGCAGGTTCTGCATCATCCTTGAATTCAACCAACTGCAGGTAAAAAATATTCAACAACAAAAAACATTGCTATACTATGTGCTTAGGCCTACTGTGATTCCCTTTATATTGAACAAGTATACTTTTTTCCTTGCCATTATCCCCTAAATTAGGGGTGGGGAAAGTTGGCCCACAGGCCATATAAGGCCCACAAAATAATTTGGTCTAGCCCTCTTAAGGCATTAGGGATGAGTTAAATGTTTGACCAAATATAGCAGGCTAATTTTAAGGTGATAATTTTGTATGGCCCGAGAATGTTGTTGTAAATATCCAAATGGCTCTCTTAGCAGAAAAAAGGTTCTCCACCCCTGCTAAACAATACAGCAACAACTATTTACAAATTATGTACATTGTATTAGGTATTATAAGTAATCTAGAGAAGATTTAAAGTATGCAAGAGGATGTGTGTAGTTTGTATGGAAACACTATATTTTACATACAGGAATTGAGCATCCACAGATTTTGGTAGGGAACGGAAGGGGATTCTGGAACCATTCCCCCACAGATACCCAGAGATGAGTGTATATCCTATATAATAAAAGGCTAATAAGCAAATGGAACAGATGGCGGAGCAACCCTAGCTATGATGCACACTGACCACCAGGGACAGACACTCAAGGCAGGAGCTGCCCCCTGGTGGTGAGTGCGCTCCCACAGGGGGAGCACCACTCAGCCAGAAGCCCTGAGCTGGGCTGGCAAGCACAGGGCAGCTGCGCTGAAGATGTCTGACTGCCAGCTGAGGCCCGCTTCCCCACCGTCAGGCCGACATCCTCTGAAGGCTCCCAGACTGTGAGAGGGCGCAGGCCAGGCTGAGGGACTCACCCTCCACCGAGTGCATGATTTTCATGCACCAGGCCTCTAGTTTATATATAAAGGGGGAGAAAAGGGAGTATATGGGGTTCGGTACTATCTACAGTTTCAGGCTTGAAACATATCCCCTGTGAATAAGGGGGAACTACAAATAAAAATAACATCACAAAGAAAATTTCCATGTAAGCAAACTATCGTCATTTATTCTCAGGTAGTGTCATTTATTCTGAACTCTAACAATAAAAAGGAAGTAATTTCTAATTATTACAACAAATATCTTATGCCCATTTGTATATTACAAAATTTGTTTTAAGACAGGGAGTTTCTAGGATTGATATCTTTTCAAACATACAGGTACATTACATAATGTATGCCTAGAAGGTTTTTGTAAACATGTATCAAATTTTACCTTGGCTTGTAGAATCTGCATCATTGTCCTTTCTAGTAGACAAATCCACAGGTTTGTCCACAGTTCCAGAAAAAGTAGATGATGAGCAAATAGATTTGGTTATAAAATCAGGTTCTTCAGATTTGCATAAAAATGGTACAGTCACTTTAGTTCCACCTGTACACACACTGTCAGCCATGCTAGTTATTTCCTCATTGTGGGATTTCTGAAAAGAAGTAATAAGAAACTGACAAAAAGGATCTTATACCCTATTTTAAAAGAAATCAAGGACTTGGGGTTCCAAACAAAATGGAGTAGCACACTTCACCTTATCTCTCCCATTCCATACTCCATCCTATCTCCCCTAATACCTACAACCAAACTGAATTTACTAGTAAACAGATAAAGCACTTAGAAAAAGCCCGTGAAAGGTGAATGAAAGCAAGAAGATTAAGACTCTAAACCTTCAGGCATAATCTAGTAGTGAGAACCTTGTGAGGGCTTTTCACCCCTCCTCCCAGAAGAGTCCATAAAATTAGAGCTGTCATCCTAGGCAGTGGCTCAGTTGATTGGAGCATCATCCCATACACTAAAAGGTTGCAAGTTCAATTCCCAGTCAGGGTACATAATTAGGCTGGGGGTTCAATCCCTGGTGGGGATGAGTACAGGAGGCAACCGATCAATGTTTTTTTCTCCCTCTTTCATCCTTCCTATCTAAAATCAATGAAAGCATATTGTTGGGTGAAGATTTACAAAACAAACAAAAAACTGGAGCTGTCAATTGCATAGATGGAAAACGTCCCGACAAGTTCTAGCTGGTTTGGCTCAGTGGATAGAGCATTGGCCTGGGGACTGAAGGGTCCTGGGTTCAATTCTGGTCAGGGGACAAATACTCTTAAAACAAATGAAAACATAGAAGTTCTCAGCAAAGAAACAGAAAGTATAAAAAAAGAACCAAATGGGAATTTTATAATTTTAAAAGAATCTAATGGGAAAATACAGTAACAGAAATTTAAAATTTTATAGGACAATATATAGACGGTGGGCAATATATAGAGGGAATTTCCTTTGAGTTCTTCATAAGGAAAAAGACTGGTTACAAATAATACGATATACTTATTAACTCAAAAGAATGTCACAATGGCACAATGCAATCTCTTAAGTGCTCAAATTGCCAGCCCTTATTATTTACACATTTTTGTAGCTTGCCCTGGTCCATTTGCTCAGTGGTTAGCGCATTGGCCCTTCAAACCAAAGGGTCAAGGGTTTGATTCCCAGTACCTCGGTTATGGGCTTGATCCCCAGGGAGATCAGGATGGGTGCAGGAGGCAACAGATCAAAGTGTCTCTCTCACATCAATCTCTTTCTCTCCCTCCCTTTCTCTCTCTCTCTTTCTCTCTCTCTCTCTCTTGTCTTTCTCTCCTTCCTCTCTCCCTTCCACTCTCTCTTTAAAAAATAAAAAATTAATGGAAAAAATACCTTCAGATGAGGATAAACAAAGAGAAACTGAAAATAACCTTCAATGGATTAATGAATAAACTGTGGTGCATCCACACAATCGAATGCTACCTAGTTATAAATATAATGTTACTATAACACAATAACTTGGACAAATTTCAAGGGCATTATGCCAAGTGGAAAAAAACTGGTATCAAAGGTAACATATGATTCCATTTTTATATAATAAAAGGCTAATATGCAAACCAATCAAACAGAGGAACGACTGGTCGCTATGACACACACTGAGCACCAGGGGGCAGGTGCTCAACGCAGGAGCTGCCCCCTGGTGGTCAGTGTGCTGCCACAAGGGGAGCGCCACTCAGCCAGAAGCAGGGCTCACAGCTGGCAAGCACAGCAGCTGTAGCAGGAGCCTCTCTCGCCTCTGCAGCAGCACTAAGGATGTCTGACCGCTGGCTTAGGCCTGCTCTCCATCCCCCGAGGGCTCCCAGACTGTGAGAGGGTGCAGGCCAAGCTGAGAGATCCCCCTCCCTACCCACTACCCCAAGTGCACAAATTTCGTGCACTGGGTCTCTAGTTTTTATATGTTAATCTGGAAAAGGCAAAAACAGAAACAGAAAACAGATGAGTAGCCAGAGATTATGGGTGGGAGAGGATTTGCTCAATATCTTGTCTGTGGTGGGAATTACAGAATTCAAGTATGCATACGAACCCATAGAAAACACATACACACATATACATACTACAAAAGTGAATTCTACTTAAGTATATAAAGATATTAATGCAAATGAAAAAGGTTATTTTTTAATATACTGAAACAGCAAGGAAAATTCATTCTTATGTTTGTGTCAAATGTCTTAGAGTATCACAGCAATCTATACTAATAAAAGGGTAATATGCTAATTAGACCAGACATCTTCCAGATGTCCTTCCAGACAAAGCCACGGTGGCAGGGGCCAAAGAAGAGGCAGTTACAGGTGATCAGGCCGGCAGGGAAGGGCAGTTAGGGGGCGATCAGGCCGACAGGGAAGGGCAGTTAGGGGCGATCAGGCCAGCAGGGGAGGGCAATTAGGAGCAATCAGATCAGCAGGGGAGCAGTTAGGGGCCTCAGGCAAGCAGGCAGAGGTGGTTAGGGGTGAACAGGCAGGCAGGCAGGTGAGCAGTTAGGAGCCAGTGGTCCCAGATTGCAAGATGGATGACCAACTGCAGGGATCGGTACTAAACCAGCAGTCGGACATCCCCAGAGAGGTCCCGGATTGGAGAGGGTGCAGGCTGGGCTGAGGGACCCTCTCCCCCATCCCGTGCATGAATTTCATGCATTGGGCCTCTAGTATCTAGTAAAGAGCAAGGGTCCATAATGGCCAAGGCTCAACCAAATACCGTTAAAGTCAGTGCTGGGTTGCCATAGCGACCCAGCACTGACTGCAGCCGGTGCGGGGGCAGCAACCCAGCACTGACTGCCAAGGGGGCTGTGGATCAGGCCCAGAGAGAGGCCTGCAGAAAGAGAGGCAGGATCTGATCCCCAGCCTCCATGGAAGCTGTTGATCAGCCATTGCCTCTCTTTCTCTCCTGGTTTCGCCAGCAGCCGTGCCTCTGTTTCTCTCCGGGCCTCCTCAGGGTCTGCTGATCAGCCCCACCTCTTTGATCAGGACCAGAGACAGGCTCACTGGCACAGAAAGCAACCAATGAGAATCAAATCTGAGTGAAGTGCCAAGAGCCAATGGCTGCCTAGGAGGCGGAGCTTTTGATGGTGACTGGCATAGAAACTGACCAATCAGAACCTAATCTGGGTGAAGTGTGAAGAGCCAATGGCTGCCTAGGAGGTGGGGCTTTTGACACTGGCATAGAAACCAACCAATCAGAACCTAATCTGGGTGAACTGCAAAGGCCGAACCTAAGGTGGGGGCTGAGGAGTTGTAAGGGCAACAGCTGTTTGGAGTAAGGTGTAAGAAAGAGGTTCAATTTTTTCATGACCGGTTTGGTAGCATAGTGCATAAGGCTGGCTATCAGTTCAGATAAAGGGATTATGTGTTTTTGTTTGCCAAGAGCATCTCCTCCTGCCGAAAAAGACTCCCCTATCCCCACCATTTAAGGACTCCCCTATCCCCGCCATTTAAGCAATCCTATCCTATATAATCTATCCATACTAATAAAAGGGTAATATGCTAATTAACCTGGTCGACTGGCCATCTTCCGGACGTCCAACTTCCTTCCAAACAAAGCCATGGTGGTGGGGGCCGAGGAAGAGGCAGTGGGGGAATTAGGCCAGCAGGGGAGGGCAGTTGGGGGCAAGATCAGGCTGGCAGGGAGGGCAGTTAGGGGCGATGAGGCAGGAAGAGGCAGTTGGGGCGATCAGGCTGATAGGGGAGGAAAGTTAGGGGTGACATCAGGCTGGCAGGGAGGGCAGTTAGAGGTGATCAGGCAGAGGCAATTGGGGCGGTCAGGTCGGCAGGCAGGTGAGTGGTTAGAAGCCAGCAGTCCCAGATTGCAAGAGGGATGTCCGACCGCCTGTTTAGGCCCGATTCCACAGGGATCGGGCCTAAATCGGCGGTCAGACATCCCCCAGGGGGTCCCTGATTAGAGAGGATGCAGGCTGGGCTGAGGAATCACTCCCCCTCCCTACAGCCCCCCCCCCAGAATTTCATGCACCAGGCCCCTAGTTACTTATAATAGCCAAAAAGTGGAAACAAACCAGATGGCCACAACAGATGAACAGACAACTAAAACGTGCTATTTTCCATATAATGGGATATCATCAACCATAGAAAATGAAATACAGATATATGTTGCAATGTGAATACCCCCTAGAAACAAATAAGTAAAAGAAGCATATACAAATGATAACATATTATGACCTACTCATAGGGAATCTCTACCATAGGCAAATCTACAGTGACATAAAGTACAACTGTGGTTAACTAGAGCTACAGGAGTTGAGTGGAAATAAGAAAGGGTAATGACTACCAAAGGTTACAAGACTCCTTTTTGCGATGATGAAAATTTCTAAAATTACTGTGTTTATGGTTGCACACCATGCGAATGTACTAAAAACCACTGAATTGTACACTTCAAAATTGTATCTGAATTGCATCGCAATAAACATAGGCGACATTACTTGGGGGATGGGTGTGCTTTAATTCAACTTCTAACACATGCCCTGAATGAAAAACTCCTGTTAGACAAAGCAAATTATTTATTTGTCTTGTTCAAAACTGTATCCCCAATCCTCAGCACAGTGCTAGCTCATAGTAAACTCTAAATACCATACATAGTCATTTTGTGCCAGGGATGCATATCTGCAGACCTTTCATAACCCAATATGATTTATGCTGAGTGTGAAGTAGGAATAATGTATTCTAAAAGGATGGAAATCTACACCCATTATAACATGTTTTGACTTTAATCATTTTTAGTTCTCTCTTTCAACTGTGTATCAAAAGGTCCTCTCCTGCAAAGTTATAATTTTATAGCATTTTTTTCAATATTTTCAGTGACTTATTACATTTAACTCTGTAACAAAGTTATTTTGGAAGAGCTCCTAGTTGCTACTTAATGAACATTATGATGTTACAAAATATTTTATAAGATTTTGTTATAAAATGCTTTGAAGTAATACATTAATAACCTCAAATAAAATATTTCAACAGCTATAGACAGCATGGTTGACAAAAAACTGAAAAAAGATATCAAATCCTTGCGTAACAAGCTTTGGCACCACAAGGTAGGAAAAGAATAAATAATGTACAATTCAGTCTGCACATCAACATTAAAAGTATTTTCCAGTTTTATTTTTTAAGTTTTGTACATAAGAATGATGCACATTTATATTGCATTATTTTGCCCTAGCTGGTGTGGTCAGTTGGTTGGAGCACCGCCCCATACACCAAAGGGTGGCAGGTTTGTTCCCCAGTTGGGGCACATATGGGAGTCAGATAATCCATCAGCCGATCCATCAATGTTTCTAGATTTTTCTCTCACAGTGATGGCCCTCCCCGCCCCTCCCCTCCTCTCCCCTCTCTTCTCCTCTCTCTCTTTCTCTCCCTCTCCTCTCCTCTCTTTAAATCTGTAGATTTATTTAGCATAGAGGCTAATGATGCAAAAACTACCAAAAGAACTTCCACAAATAAATCTATTAGTCAAAAATGAGAAAGGGATGTCATTATATTAGCTGATGACCATTGTACTGATAAATTAAAACCTACTGAATAGTTGCCACATCCTAGGTGGACAACTGGAAAAAGCAGCCAACTAGAATCCTCAGTCACAGACTATGAAGGGTAGTAAATTTCTTAAAGACACAGACCATGTACTGGACCACATCTCTCTGTAGCTACAGATCCTTTAATTAAACCATTGCATTCATAACTAACTCCAGGACTTTATTTCACTTTACCTTTCCAACAATAAAACAGTATTACTTGAGGGGACAAGGACCATTCTGAATACATATCAATAGATTATAAAAACTACTAGACAGGGACCTTCTCTTCCAATTTCTGTGAAATATAAATTAAAACACCAAGGTGTTGATAGCTACTCAAATTATCACTACATTTGAGCTAAGAAAGTAATCAAATCACGAAATTATTGAAAAAGCAAGGTACAAAATAAGCCAAGGGAACTAGGTTTCAAATGCTGTATTTCCTATCCACTCTGCCCACTGTAGAATAAACTAACTTATATGAAAAATGAACCACTTAATACTGTTCTTGGTATTGTGGTAGGCATTCTTAGAAATATCTGCATAGTTTATGCCACCCCATTCCCCAAAACCGAGCATACACAGAGGGGTGAACCTTTTTAGTCATCTATGAAAAGTCCACCTTCCCTAGACATAGTTGACTAAACTAGTAGATGCCTAATACGTTTGCTAGCCAAAACACATTATTACCATTTGGTAAGAACATTCTGGCTTATTATATCAACAAAGCCAACTAAGCCAAAAGAAAAACAATGAAAGTGTCCTTACTTGGGCTTCCTGAACTTTTTGAAGCTCTGACTGAAAGTCTTCCCCATTTCCATTGTCCTCATCGGTATCACTGCCGACTCCACAAAAAAATGTAGGTGGAAGTTTTAATGTATCTGCTTTTGCCTTCTCTTCAACTGTTGGTTTCTTTTCCCAAACAATAATGCATTCTTTCTCATTTTCTGAAAATCCCATACAACACACGCAAAAGAAAGTTAAGATAAAAGTAGATGAAGTACAACTATTTTACAATGGCCCAATTTTACAACAGACTCAGGTAACATGACCTAAGTGCCAATGGAAAACAAGAACTAACAGAACAGTATTTTTCACTTCATATTGTTTTAAAATACTTTAAATCACCACAGGCATATTACATAATAAAGTTGGTAATTACAAAAATAATCAAATTGGGAGGTTCCTTTCAAATAAAAGATTTTTTAAAAAACAATTAGTAATTTTAACTTTACATACCTGTTACACTTTTTTCTAATGGTTTATATTTTTCTGAGTCATCCAGATATAGTTTTCCATTAAGTTTCTTGACAGCTGTTTCAAAATCTTCATCTTAAAGTATAATTGATTTTATTAAATAAAAGAATTTCTAGTGTTTTCCTAGCCCGAAATCTAGAAATTATCTCCAACTTCAGACTTTTCCTTACTCCCCACATGCAAACAGCAATCATTTTGACAATTATATATCTCTAATGCACCTTCGGATAGAAATCTCACTGAAAACTCGCCTCTTGTTTGAGCTGCTCTATTATCATTTTAGCTCATCTACCTACCTCCATGAACCACAACCCAACCTTTTATACCATTATCCAAGTGGTTCTACTGAAACTTTTCTGTAGACCCGCTTTAAAAAAACTCTGATATGGCACACAAACTTTTCTACGATCAAACCCGTCCTCCTCTAAAACTTTGAGGATATTATGATGGTTTTCAACTGCCTCAAAATGCCCGCCCTGCTCATGGTAGTCATTCAAAAAATTGTTACTTAATACATCATTACATCCATTGGCTATTTACACATATATTTAGGATAAACATCTATCTATCTGCAAGGACAGCAGTGAGGGTTCTAAGAGCAGGCTTAATATAAATTAACCACACCTCCCAATTACTAAGATTAGCATAAAAAGAATGCTTTTATAAAATAACGAAAGATTTACCATCCTCTTCTTCTTCGCTAACATAATCTGGTCTATTCTTATAGCAGAAGAAAGTTGGAGGAAGTTTAAGTTTGCTTGCAAGAGCTCTGTGCTCCGGAGTTGGGGTTAGCTCATATACAATAAGAACATCCTCATCTGAGGGAGGGTCTTCAGGCTTTATCTTCTCTTTTGCTATAATACAAGTCAAAAAAATTGATAAAGACAGGTGTTAAATCAGTATTAACATCAGTATTCTAACTGAAAATAAAAACCATGGAACTTATCTGTAGGTTAAAATAACATACTAGTAAAAGCACATATACTTTGATGTGGACAGAACTCTAAAATAGTAATTACAATCAGTAGTAGACAAGGATATAGAATTTAATGTTCTATCAAAAACCCTTAGTGAGCACAAAATCTATTTAAAAAACAAAAAAATCACCCTGGCCAGTGTGGCTCAGTTGGCTGTATTGTCCCACGTACCAAGAGGTCATGGGTTCAATTCCGTCAGGGAACATACCTAGGTAGCAGGTTCAATCCCCAGTTGGGGTACAAACAGGAGGCAACCAATTGATGTTTCTCTCTCCCTCACCCTTTCTCTCTCTCTAAAATCTATAAAAATATATCCACAGGTGAGAATTAAAAAAATAAAATCCTGCTTTTACTTACTGATCATTGAAAAAATGTTATTATTAATGGCTATAATTTTAAAAGTGCTGCTATAACCATATTTGACATACACAATAGTTAGGCAAAATACGCATGCATTTTCAACAACTGAAAAAAATCAAAGCAATCACAAGTAAAAACAAAGTGTAAATATAAAACTAGTGCAAGCCCTACTTTGATTAGTTGCCACAAGTTAACAATTGCCAAGATGGCAGGTGATTAGAGTTACATCCAGTTTTGAATGTTTCCAAAAGTGATAATAGATAAAATTAAATAAAAAGTTATCCTATAGGTAAGTAATACTAAATACTGTAAAAATTTAATACAATTACTATAGCTGAAAAACCAACAAGGACAACAAAAAAGGCAAAAATTAAAAAATGGAGAGAAAAGGAATTCTTCATACAATCTGCTCTGGTTTATAAAAAAGAATTTCTGCCCCTGGCCGGTGTCGCTCAGTGACTGGAGCGTCAGCCCATGGACCAAAGGGTCACAGGTTTGATTCCCAGTCAAGGGTACATACCTGGGTTGCAGGTTTGATCCCACGCCCAGGTCGGGGCACGTGTCTGTGTCTGTCTGTCTGTCTGTCTCTCTCTCTTTCTCTCTCTCTCTCTCTCTCTCTCCCTCCCCCTCCCCCCCTTCCTTCCTTTCCACTCTCTCTAAAAGTCAATGGAAAAAATGTCCTAGTGTAAGAATTAACAAAACAAAAACAAAACAAAAAAAAGAATTTCTGGGCAAAGGAACTGATAAATGGTAAACAACTTATGAAGCATGCTCTGTACCAGGGGTCCTCAAACTACGGTCCGCGGGCCACATGCAAATACAAATATTGTATTTGTTCCCATTTTGTTTTCTTCAAAATAAGATATGTGCAGTGTGCATAGGAATTTGTTCATAGTTTTTTTTTTTAAACTATAGTCCGGCCCTCCAACGGTCTGAGGGACAGTGAACTGGCCCCCTGTTTAAAAAGTTTGAGGACCCCTGTTCTGTACCAACTGGAACTGTCCAATATGGCAGCCGAGCCAGTGTGGCCATTAAGCAATTAAAATGTGTCCAAACTGAGATGTGCTACAAGTTTAAAATACACAGTGGATTTCATAGACTTGGCACCAAAAACAAAAAGAATATACCTCGTTTTGTTATATTGATCAGAATTTTAAATGTTACTTCGGATATAATGGGTTAAACTGAGTAACTATTAAAATTAATTTCATCTTTTCTCTTTGTTCACCTGTTTCTTTTTATTTTTAATATAGCTACTGGAAATTTTTATATTACACACATAGGCCATATTTATTTCTATGGGATGGCACTGATCTGGAGAACTAGAGCCCTTTAGCAACATTAAATTTGCCTTTCGCTCTCTTTCATTACAAAAATAGTAATTCCTAGCCAGGGATAGTACAAAACACCTTAAGAACAGATTCTTGTTCCAGTTCTGTTGTGAGCTAGTAAAGACAACTTGGATATAATGAACAGCCCGCTGGGCCCTAGTTTTCCTCATGTTTTAGAGTCTTTGTCTCTAAGATCCTTTGGGACTCTGACACACTCAAATTTGAAACAGAAGTAGCATATTGGTAAATTTGCATGTAGGCCAGGGATTCTTAACGGAGGGCCCAGAGTCTGTAAGTATATATCCTTTATAGAAAAAAGCCAGACTTTTCACATAATTTCTCAAAGACTGCACACTTTAAAATAAAGCTTAAGAGTTGCTTTAGCTAGTAATAAAATGGACATAACTTTATAACTGAAGACCCCAAAAATCAAGGATTGTCATTTTATCAATGTACTTGTTTGGCAACCTATAACACAGTTGCTAAAGATATGTTATTAGACACTAATATGGAGTTTTCATTTCCCTAATTTGTGCCCTTGAAGGTCTTTAAGAGATTCCACTCTCTTTTATAAAAGATCTGTACTACATACATAACATACCAGGAATAACATAACAGGTGGATATTAAAAATGGGCACACTTTCAAATACAATTAATTTTCTGAAACATGTCCAAAAAGAATGGCCGTAAGGGGACGCACTGTTTCATGTTGTATGCATGCTATTACCGTCACATGTTTGGATACAGGCTGACATTAGTGGCTAAAGAAAAGGGTTAGTAAAATATAGGTCTTTATTAAGCAAAATAAATAATGGAGTAATGAAGTACAAAGCAGCAAAAGGTAAAGACCTAATAGATCTCAAAATAATGTTATGCAATAGTGAGAAACATGACATCCAAGTACATTAAAAAACAGCATTAAATGGTATTATACCACCAGTCAAAAGTTACTTGCTTTTAAACTGACATTCTTTAACATGCACACTGTAGTGTTAAGTACTTAATTTCAAACAGCCACAGTTACTTTTCTAAAGTCTACCAGCTGCTAAAAAACTGCTGTCATCTCATACTGAGAATGCTCACTCTATACCTTTGTTCTCAGGCTGTGAGGAAGGAGTGCTGGTCCAAAAGGCCATTGGATTAGATTTAAAAAGACTAAAATTAAACCCTAGAAAATAAAGAGTATTTAATTTTTGAACATAATGAGAATCAAAGTGAATATGATGTTAAAATATAAAAAGCCAGAGTCCCTCAATTTAAGCCAATTTGGCCATTTTACATATTCATTTATCCAAGAGGTTCATTCTTTGTTCATTTAATAGAGTGGCAAGACTAACTTACATAAAATGTGAGCATCTCAGTACCATGTTTTTTTGTTTTTCCTTTTGAGTGACAAGAAAATAACAATAACTTAAAGAATGAATACTTAAGAAAAAAGAAAGAAAACAGACTCAAGTTAATGTTCATGACTCAAGTACAAGTGACTGAAGTTCTGTACTGCATTGGGTTCATGTGCTCTGCCTTAAGTACGATATAAGTATCTTCCAGTTATTCAAATCTCCAAACTTACACACATACTCTCTGTTACTGTTTGAATACTCACAGGTAAAATAATTTTGAGAGAAAAAATTTTGCACAAATGTGATTTAGCTGTTCACAAAGCACTGTGTTTATGACCCAATTTTTAGTAAAACATTAGTATCCTAAAAAGAATCTGCATCAAGGTAAACATTAAAAAGAAAAATTCAAAATAAAAATTTGCTTAATCTATTAAGACTAAGTGCTTACCCTTTTCTGGTGTCTTAAATGTGTAATTAGTTGAGAACTCTTCCTTTGGAAAAGCAGCAAAGAGATTTTGTACTTTGCCATCTGGAGACTGCTTAATATCAGAGTTCTTTGATTCTTCACAATTATTAGGTTCCACTTCTCTTTCAGATCCACTCTGAACTCCTGAACTAGTTTCACTGGTTTTTAAAGGTGCATTAAAACTAAATCCAAACAAAGACCCAGTAGCTGAACTGTTGCCAAATGTAAATGGTTTTGATTTTTCACTACCAAAAATGCTTTTAACAGATTCTGAACCAAATACAAACTTTGGAGGAGAAACTACTGCTTTAGTTGCTATTTCAGATGTGCTAGACACATCTCCAACTTCTGAGGTTGCATCTGCTATATCGTCGCCCTGAAGTAAATCTGTCCTCTCTTTTGTGGTTTCTTCTAATACAGCTACAGCAATTCTGCCACATGGTGACTCTCTTGGAGTTGTCGAAAAAGAAACATGAGGTGTTATCAAAGAATCTTTTTCTTGGGCTATTTTTGCTTCATCAAATATTTTCTTAAATGAGTCTGCAACATCCTGTAGTTTAAATCGGACAGCTAAATGTTCTACTTTTCGTTCTCCATCTGCAAAATCACATGCAGTCCACACCCACACTCTTTCTGTCCCTTTCATATTTTGCAAAGTCATATCTGGAGTTATTCTGTGATTGGCACAAAGTTTTAACACTTGGTCCCTTCTCATCACTATGCGAACTTGCTTATTATCATAATTCTGTAAAATCTTTATATCACCAATGCCTCTTTCTTTCCACTGACCAACATCTTTATCATATCTATAGAGTTTTGCTCTGTGACTAAAAACAACTTGTTCATTTTCCTCACCACTAGATACTTCAACTAGATCAGGCAAAGGTACAACAGGTTCAAAGTACTGTCCATCTCTCTCCTCTTCTTGAGTAACATCAGATTCTTCATCATTGCCAACTGTGGTCCCACTTTGATTCAACAAGGCAGGAGACTTAGATGGACTCAAAGCAGATTTAAAACTAAAGTTAAATCCTGTTGTTGACTCACCAAAACGGAAGAGATTTTTTCTCACAGGGCTACTTGCCAGTGGAGAAGCATGTACTGAGCTACTACTTACACTATCATCCAAAGCATCTTCCCTTAAATCATAGTTACTCCACTCTACTGTGGGTCCAGTGTTTTCAGGATTTGGCTTTGTGGTTATGTCTGAAACACTGACAGCACCTGCATCTGAATTCTTACTTTCTTCCTCAGTGACTTTTGTTTGATCATTTGTCAAAACTGTTTTGAAATCTTTTAGTCCACTCTTCATTTCTTCAGCTCTCTGTATTAATTTGGCAGCTCTCCCAGTATCCACCAACTTATGGGGAGTTTGAAGTGGTATATCTAATAGAAGTCGCTGGCATTCCTCAAATTTCTGCTTGAATTCTTCAGCAAGCTCTGGTGTTTTAAATTTTGCTGCCAGCTGCTCTAGTTTGGCATCACCATCAGAAAAATCACTAGCTAACCACATCCATGCTCTATCTGATCCAGATAAAGGCTTCAGGTTCATTGTAGTCGTTATCCAATGATTAGCACACACTTTTAGCACTTGCTCTCTTCGCATTAACATTCTTAGTTTGCCATTGACCTCATTTTTGAGAATTTTTAAGTTCCCCAAGCCCCTTTCTTTCCACTGACTTATCTCAGCATCAAATCTAAATAACTTTACCCGCTGTGAATAAAGAACTTTTTCATCTTCTTCTCCTGTTACAAGTTCTACTTTTTCGGGCATTTGTACTACTGGTTCAAAATGGATGTCATCACTGTCCTCAGTCTTATAGGCATCATCATCTTTCTCAATGTCAGTAGAAGTGTCAGCTTTATCAGCCTTTTTACCACTTTGTAATGAGAATAATTTTTCTCCAGCACCTGAAAATCCCTTGAAATTAGGGTCTTTTTTGCCAAATTGAAATCCTTCTCCTGAAGTTGATTTTGCAAGATCTGCAAAGGTAAAAGTGCTTCCAGTTTGACCAAATACCACACCAGTATCATTCTTCTGACTGCTAACACCCTGAGCCTGAAAATCATTGTCATTTTCAAGTGGTTTTTCACTCTTCTTCTCTTGATTTCCCAGTTCCTGAATGCCAAATTTAAATCCATCAGCAAGCACAGGAACAGAAAAATTAAATCCTTCTATTGTTGAATTAGAGTCTGTATTAGAACTCTGAAATGTAAATGAAGGTGTATTTTCTTGATCCATATGCCCAAATTTAAATCCTTGTTCTGTGATGCCAAATTTAAAAGCTTTTTCTGAAAAGTTACTTTTAAATCCTGTTCCCACCTGATTTCCAGAAGAGTCACTTAACTTAGCTTTTGAGCCCAATGTGAAAGCTGAAGACGCTTCCGGGTTAGGTTTATGAGTTGGTTTAGAGGCATCACAAGCCACACATTTTAAGGACGAACTCTCATTTTGCACAAAGCAAACACTACAATCCCACTGTCCTTCCTTCTTGGTGAACATTCCTTCAAATCCACTCTTTGTGGCCTTGCATGTCTCTGAAGAGGCAGATGCTGAAACAGCAGGAGTAGGCTGATTTTGTGCACTTGGATTCTGACAAGCAGCACATTTGGTAGTACTTGCTTCATTTCGCACAAAGCAAACACTACAATCCCACTGACCTTCCTTCTTGGTGAACATTCCTTCAAATCCACTCTTGGTGGCCTTGCTTGTCTCTGAAGTACTAAACTTAAAAGAGGCAGGTACTGGAACAGCTGAAGACACACTTGGTTTACCGGGATTATGACAGGCAGCACACTTTGCAGCATTTGCTTCATTTCGTACCAAGCATACACTGCAATCCCACTGTCCATCCTTTTTAGCAAACATGTCCTCAAATCCACTCTTAGGAGTTTTATTTATCTCTGAAGCACCAAACTTACAAGAAGCAGGGGCTGAAACAGTAGGTAAATTCTGTTTTCTTGAATTATCACAGGCAATACATCTTGAAGAGCTTCCTTCATTTTGTACCAAACACACACTGCAATCCCACTGTCCTTCCTTTACAGAAAAAACAGATCTGAAATCATTGTCAACAGACTTAGGAAGATCTCCCTGGCCAAATTTAAAGGAAGGTTGCTGAACAAATAAAGAGCCACCTTTGTTAGCAGACTTTGTATTCTGGCATGCAATGCATCTAGATACGGTAGGTTCGTTTCTCACTAAACAAATACTACAATCCCAGTGACCTTCATTCTTTGGAATCATCAACGCAAACCTATCTGGAGTATTTTCTGGGCTAGTTTTAAGAGTGGGAATAGTTTCAACTAATGCTGGGCCAAGGAGCTCTTTATTGCTTGGGTTTAGATTCTGGCATGAAACACATTTCTTAGCAGTTGCAGCATTTTTTAATGAACAGCTGTTACAATGCCACCAAGACCCTTCCTTCTTTGCTACCTGAAATTCAAAATTCACGTTTCTCACATCTGATTTGCAAATATCCTTATTACCATGACTTGCAGGTTCTTTTACGATTCTCATAGCCTTATTTGTTGTGGTTACCTTTGCTCCTGAGGTTTTTAAAATATTCTGGGCCTCTTCAAACTTACACTTAAAAAGTGCTGCTTCCTCAGGAGTTTTGAATCTAATAGCAAGTTGTTCTGGTTTGGGGAACTCATCTGCATAATCAAGAGCATGCCATACAAAAGATCTGTCTGATCCAGCATTTGGTGTCAATTTCATATCTGGACTGATGTAATGATTTGCACATATTTTCAATACTTGCTCTCGTCTCATTAGAAGGCGAATTTTACCAGATGTTTTATGTCTTAGTATCTTTACATTGCCAATTCCACGTTCCTTCCATTCTTTGGATTCTGCATCAAAACGGAACAATTTTGCACGATTGCAAAAGAATTCTTCTTCATCTTCCTCACCAGTCTTTACTTCAATCTTATCAGGAAGAGGAACCACAGGCTCAAAGTGAGGGCCATCATCATCGTCATCACCATGGGCACTCCCTCCATCTGCTTCATGATTCTTGTTGGCCACCTCTGGGGCAGGTGTTCCAAACACTGATTTCCCTGGACCATGCAAAGTAAATATATCATCACTTCGACAAAAACCAGAGTTCTTTTGATTTGGGCCTATGTTTTCAGTGAATGAAATTCCAGGTACATTTTTACTTCCAAAATTGAACGTATTTCGAGATCCAATAGTTTGACTAGCTTTTGCTCCACTGTAACCATCTCCTTGCAAAGGTTTTTCCGAAGTCAAAAGACCTAAAAGGCTTTCGCTATTATTGTAAGTCATAGAAGGGGGCTGTGTCACAACCTGTGGTGAGGAAAACGTGAAATCACCATCATTTGATTTGAAGTTGGAGTTAAATTTAAAAGGTGGCTGTGTTGTATGTGCAGGTGCTGTCAAAGACGGCCTTATTCCTTCACCTGGCATGGGCTGAACAAAATTAGTTTTACCAAATTCTATAACCTTTGATTCTGCAGATCTTGAAGCATGAGCTGCAACTGGAGGTTTTGTGAAATAACCTGGTTCTGGCAAAGGTGGGTTTGTGCTTGTCTGTTGAATATTGTAATTAAAATAATCATCACCCCTAGGTGACAAAATTCCTGTGGCAGGAGACTCAAAACGCAGTGGAGGACCATACATCTCTTGAGAGAACATACAAGCAGATGTGCTTTGCACAGGTGGTGTGTGCATCTGTTGTGAATAGGCATAAATATGCTGCTGAGGTGGAAGCCTATTCATGCCATAAACTGGACCCTAAAAGAGAAAAAAAGGTTAAATTCATGTAAATTTGTACCTAAAAACTGTAAGTAACTACTAGATACAAACCAATTTTAACAAACCACAAACATAAGTATTATAAGGTAAAGGTATCATTGGGTATGTGGTGCATCATTAAGAGAAGATAGCATTACTACAAAGGTATTTACAATTATATTCCTTCTTGGCATATAATAAAAATTGTCTTAACTCATGACAGCATCTTAAAAACTTAATTCTCTAATACTTTCAACAATAAAGAATTTAAATTAAAAAAATTTAATTCTCCAATAAAAAAATAAATGAATAGTATAAATATCTTCTTCTTTATTTATCAATGTGTCAGATGATGTTAACAATAATGATGATGATGATGATGGCCTTGGCTGGTGTGGTTCAGTTGGTTGAGCATTATCCCATGCACATGGAGAGGTCACTGATTTGATTCCTGGTCAGGGCACATGCCCATGTTGTGGGGTCAATTCCCAGTAGGGGACATGCAGGAGGCAGAAGATTGATGGTTTTCTCTCACTGATGTTTCTCTCTTTCTCTCTCTCTCTCCCCCCCCTTCCCCCTTCCTCTCTTTAAAATCCACACAAAATCGTATTTAAAGAATAATAATGACAAAGACTAGCAATTATCGAGCTGTTACTAATGTGCCTAATGAGCAATATTCTAAGTATTTTACATATATTAACTCATTTTAATATCCTCAAAAACCCTATGAATTAAGGCATTATTATCCTCATTTCACATATGAGGCAACTAATGTATAGAGAGGGTAAGACACTTGCCCCAGGTCACAATAAGCAGAAAAGCCAGGGCCCTAGCACTCAAACCCTCTGTCTTTAAGCTTCACATTCAACTACTATTGTAATATTGGGTCTTAGCTACTACACACCTGAACATGGTAACTTTAGCAATAGGAGGTTCTACTCCTATTTCTGCCAAAACAGAAAGATGAAGAACCAACCACCACCACCCATTTAAACATATTCTAAACATTCACTTATTATTACACTAGGGGAATGGTGCATGAAATTCGTGCGGGGGGGCAGGGAGAGGGGGTGTCCCTCAGCCTAGCCTGCACCCTCTCCAATCTGGGACCCGTTGGGGGATGTCCGACTACCGGTTGGGATCAGGCCTAAACCAGCAGTCGGACATCCCTCTTGCAATCCAGGACCACTGGCTCCTAACCACTCACCTGCCTGCCTGACTGATCACCATTAATCACTCTGCCTGCCGACCTGCTCGCCCCCAACTGCTCCCTGCAAATGCCCACACCCAACTGCCCACACCTGCCAGCCTAATAGCCTCTAAACGCCTCTGCCTCGGCCCCGCCACCATGGCTTTGTCCGGAAGGACATCCGGAAGGTCTCCCGGAAGGTATCCTGGTCTAATTAGCATATTACCCTTTTATTAGTATAGATAAAAATAAGATGACTAGGAAGTATAACTTCTGTATCTGGAGAGAAATTTAAAATATCTCTATCTTGTGAGACTTAGAAGTTTTAATGCTGAACTACTTCTTGAATGTATTTGAAATAAGCCTGAACAATTAAAAAGGAGATATTTATAAATGTGTAAATTATTTGTTACCTTTGTGGGAGTAACATTAGCTGCTGGTCTGAGAAGATACTGGGAATTATATGCTGGTGACTGACTATAATATACTGAAGTGCCAGTAGTTGCAACTAAAAAAAATAAAAGAAAACACTGTTAAAAAAATCTATACTACAGTTAAGACCATCTAGGCAAGAACTATAAATACAAAAGCAACAGAAATCAAAAAGATTTAAAACTACATCAAAGTGTTTTTAATTTCTATATCAAAATATACCATAAAGATGATTATCAAATGATCAAATGACAAACTAGGAAAAACTGCTAAATATGACACATGAGAATTAAGAGCATGGTAGTAGTCAACAAGAATAAGCACCTCACAATAAACATCAAAAAAGCAAGAAGGAAGTAGCTGGTCAACTTTTCAAGAAAAAGTGGTATGATGTGAGCACATAGCCATGTTCCAACAACAGAAATATTGAGAACACACTAGTCACAGGAAGGGTTTAAGGCAGCGGTCGCCAACTGGTGGTCTGTGAAGTCCGAAAGGTTGGCAACCGCTGGTTTAAGGAACCAAAATGTACCTGATGGCCCCAGGGCCATTTTTTGAAGTGAGCCTAGAAAATCTGCACAAGACAAGGTTGTATTTTCTAAACTCAAGCTTAGAATGTCCAGGTCAAAAATCACCTGATAATCCATGAAAAAGGATCTCATAAATAACACAAAATGTTTCTTGGGGTGAAGGTGGGGAGGACACATCATGACTGACACTCATTCCAAGGTCCAAACTATTTCCTCCATCTGATCTGTTTTATGTGAGTTTTATCAGGAAATCAACAACTAGAAGACACTCATACTGATGGCAAAACTACCAACAGTCATTTGCTTGATCTGTTTAATAAAAGTTTTACCAGAAAACAATACAACTTAAAGATTATTCAGGCCTTTACACGAAAGAAGAAATAAAAATTGTGACTCAAGAGATGCTAAACTATTAATTCTGACACGCACTGAAAAAGACCTAAAAAAAGCTAGCCTGACTAAAAAAATTGCAGAGAAGCCCAAGACTGATTTTGGAAAACAAATGGAACTGCCTGGTGAACATGATTATTTTGAAATATTCCGGGGAGAAAATAGGCATAGAACAAGCTGATGGACATGAGCCAAGAATAATAAAGTATGAAATTTAGTGACCTTATCAATGACTAGTGACTGTTTAAATAGTAAAAAAACAAAAACAAAAAACAGCACCACACACATACACATACAACAACCAACTATTAAAGAGTTCTTATAAACCTATTACAAAAAGCACGAAGTGAAAAGGTAACTCAGGAAATATAAAAGATTATAAAGTGTTCAGAATGCCTAGTGACAGTATTTTTGTTCTTAAAAATTGGCTAAGGTTTTTATAATCTGATAATAGTTAACACTAGGTAAGAATACAAAGAGAAGGGCATTAGTAGATGTCAGTGATAAGAGCGTAAACATGCATAGCTTTTCTGTAAGGCAATTTCCAAACACAGAAGCATTTTTAAAAGATGCTACAATCCTGGAAATGTGCCCACAGTATTACTTATAATAGCAAAAAGTAGAAATAACAAAAATAAGGGAATAAAATTTGCAGTACTTCTACATGATGGTATAGTACATTCATTAATGTATTTTCAAAAAATACTTAATAGCCACGTGCTCAGAACTTAAAATAATATTTAAAAACAGGCTATCTTATCTACATACATCATAACATAGTAAAGGTCTCATTAAAAATTCTTTTGTTTACAAAGAGAAAAGAGCAGAAAGAAATGCTCCAAGATGTTAGTAGAAATCTTTGTGATATTGTTAGCTTTTCATTTTCTTTATTGTTCAATACATCTTAATATTTCCTATAAGTTTATTAATCATTTTTTAAATCATCTTACTTTCAAAAGACAAGATACATCTTGGTATATTTTTACTTTCATTAAGAAAAACAAATCTGTAAACACAGGAATGGTAATCAAGAGATTTGAGCTCTGCTTTCGGGCCACAAAGCTGTTTTAAGACCTTGTCAATTAGCCATTTAGGATCTCCCATTTTCTCACACATTTTATAGGGTAATTGCAAGAATAAATTGAGACAATTTGAGTGTTATATTTACATTTGTTTAACAACCTTTTACGCCTGTACAAAAGAAATGGAAATTGTGATCCAACAGATGCCAAATAATCAATTCAGACAGCACTCAAAAAGCCTTAGAAAAGGCTAGACAGTTTACTTATTCCCTCTGCACAAGACTCTATATAGTACACAGGGTTTTTAAGTAAGCAATGTTGAACTCTCGACATCTCATATATTTGTCTACGACTTACGACATTTAGTAAGTAGAAGTGTACTATTTATTTTACCTGCATTTAGAAGACACTGTCACAAGAGGATAGTGGGGCAACCTTAAGTATTGCCCCAAAAGGCTATCATACACATGTACTAATATAAACTAGATTAAAGCATTCCAAATCTTTCCTGGGTTAAAACCAATTAAAAAAAAATATGTACTACTACCATTTCAGGAATCTGTCTCATGTAAAAGCAATCTATTTTTGACATCATTTCTGGGTGCCTGAGTGCAATGTAGCATACTGGCAAATGGCTTTAACATCAGACCACTGGAGTTTGAACCCCAACTCTTTACCAATAATTACCTTCTACAATAATGGATGAGTTACTTAACTTTTCTAAACCCATTTCCTCATCTATAAAATTAGGATTAGTAATAGTACCTACCACTCTGGGTTACTGTGATTAGCACTTCTGCACAGAGACAACCCACAGAAGATACTATTCATACCCTTTTGTTCATTAGTGTTTACTGTAAGTAAGCACCTAATACATACCCATACTTACACAAATGCTCACAATTACCATGTGAGTCAGGTATTATTATCTCCATGCTTTAAATAGACAAACTGGCTCTGAGAGGTCGGTAAGTGATACAACACAACTTCAAAATCTAATATGATCTAACCTTAAACTCCTTCCTTTTATGTATGACCATGGTATTTTAAAACAAGATTTCCTATTAATGTCATACCTTTGGTTATCTCATCAAAATAATTCCTGAGTTTTTAATTAGGCATATCTTAATGCATAATGATATCAATTAACATTTTTCAATTATAAGGAATACCTCTACCTCAATCTCAGCTCCTATGACATCGGCATTAAAGGAATATTCTTTAAGCCTTTATATACACAGTATCAAATAAAGCTTATTTTGTTTCTCATTGGAGTTTTAAATATCTCAGTAAAACCAAAGACAGCTTATGTAACATATAAGCAGACACATACATATATATGTAAACAAATATATGTACATAATAAGGTGGTTTCACGAGTGATCTATATAAAGAAGACACAGTGATTTACTAACATATCCAGATACCAACTCACCTGTTAATGGAGCCCCATGAAAAGTCTGTGATCCCTGATATCCATCAGGCACTGAATCTGGTCCATAACCTTCTGTAGGCCAACGATGAGGGGACCCCAAGTTACTGCTATTTAGTTTCAATTCCTGCATTTCTTTCTGTTGGAAGAAGAAAAGAACAAAATTTTAAGCAATTCTATAATGCCAGAAACAGTGACGGAGCAAACAAATATTTTAAATAGCTGATGATGCCCTTTAAGAGACTCTACAGTCCAATAAGACAGCGGTTCTCAACCTGTGGGTCGCGACCCCTTTGGGGGTCGAACGACCCTTTCACAGGGGTCGCCTAAGACCATTGGAAAATACATATATAATTACATATTGTTTTTGTGATTAATCACTATGCTTTAATCATGTTCAACTTGTAACAATGAAAATACATCCTGCATATCAGATATTTACATTACTATTTATAACAGTAGCAAAATTACAGTTATGAGGTAGCAATGAAAATAATTTTATGGTTGGGGGTCACCACAACATGAGGAACTATATTAAAGGGTCACGGCATTAGGAAGGTTGAGAACCACTGCAATAAGAGCTGATTACCAGATTCTTAATTCTGATAATTAAGAACATGATCCTTAATGTGTTAACAATTCATTTGCTCCCATTCTTTCATTCCTTAGTACCATTACCTAATTCACTCACTCTAGATTAGAGTTAGCTCTAGCCTAAACAACTAACTGCCTAAATGGCCTCATCTCCATTTCCATTCTACACTTGCCTAAATTAATCATTCTAAAGTTCAGCTCTAGCCAAGTAGCTATAAATTAAGTTTCTATCTCTGACATTCATGTCCTCAGCAGTATTATCCCAAATATCCTTCCAGCATATATTCTTTCCATACTGCTTTACCCTTCGGTTCATGTGGACTACTTCAACATTCTAAATTACCTCCCAATACCAGCTTTCCAATTATACACATATGATGTAACAAAACACTACTTATCCTTCAAAGTGATGCTCAAATGCTCCACTAGAAAAGAAAAAACTAATATTTACTGAGAATACACAGGGTGAGGCAAAAATATATTTACAGTTGTGTGCATGGAAAATAATACAATAATTAATAAATAATAATACAAGAATCAACTGTTTTGCATACTCACAACTATAAACCTACTTTTGCCCCACCCTATATTATGTACATAACTAGAGGCCTGGTGCACGAAATTCATTCACTGGGGTGGGGGGTGGGGGCCGGGGGCGCGTGTGTCCCTCAGCCTGGCCTGTGCCCTCTCACAGTCCGGGAGCCCTTGGGAGATGTCTGACTGACGGCTAAGCCATCAGTCGGGCATCCTTAGCACTGCCACAGAGAAGGCAGGAGGGGCTCCCGTCGCCACCACTGTGATCGCCAGCCATGAGCCCAGCTTCT